TATATATATATATATTGCAATAATCATAGATGTCGGTCAAATACGTTTTCCATTGATCATCGTTTTTAAGAATGTTTACTTTATCTTTTTTTTTGTACTACTGAAATTTTATACTATCACTGAATGATCTATCATTCATAACTGTTACTGCTGAGAGATCTAGGAGAAGAGAAAAAAATGAAAAAAGAAAATATTAATGACACCGTCATTATTGTATTTAAATTCTTTATCCTGATGTTTATAGTATAGCATAGAATTAAAGAACATGAAAAACGGTTATTTTTACCTATAGAGAACAAAAAATAAACACAAAATTGCTGGCATCTATTGAGGCACAAAAACTTGAAGAAAGATATTTTCGATAGGTTGACATTATACGACAATCATATGGCTGTTTATTTGTTAAAACAAATGAGACTATTTGTGACGTCCATTCATACTGGAGATTTTCCGTATATCCTTCTCTCTACATATATTTAATCATATAACTGTTTGCAACTTTTAGATTTCTAAATAATTATTGATGAACTCAAAAATTAAAATTGAAACTTTTGAGAAGAATTTAGAGGTGATTAGCAAAGCACAAGCAGGTGATATGTTGAAATTTCAACGAGGTTTGCACAGTCATTGGGGGATTTATACAGGTAAATAAATTGCTTTTTATTCTTTCTTTTTTAATAAAAAAATTATTTTAGGAAATGGTGAAATAATTCATCGATGGGATCCTAATGGTGATATGAGCAATGCTCAAGTTTGGAAATCAAAAATAAACGATATAATGGCGTACGATGGTGATCTTCAAATCCACAATTTTCTTGATGACAAAAAAAAGTATGTTATTAGCTGGATAAAGTATTTAGACAAGATATAATGTTCGACTATGAAACAAAAATATATATAATTTTTGAAATTAAATTTAATAGCTGCACTAAAATATTAGAGTTACTGTAAAAACTGTCTAGGGTTTTTTATGATAAGTAAAATAGTTTTTCTTCCCTTTTACGAATAAAAAATTTCGAGTATCTCCTATCTGAGTCATATAATAATTAATAATTGTTAATGAAGAGAAAAAATATGGATTTTAGGCTAAAAAATAAATCATTTGATATGAATTCTATAAATAAGTTTTTAATTTTTTTCTGTTATAGACCATTACCAATTTCAGTTATTGTTGAAAAGGCTGAAAATGCTCTCGGTACAAAAGGTTATGGTTTACTTGACAAAAATTGCGAACACTTCGTAACTGAATGCCGTTATGGTCAAGCAACTTCTCGTCAAGTATGACCAATTACATTTTAAATACATTAAAAAGATCATTATTATAGGTAGAAGTAGGCATTTCACTTTTTTTCGGAGGTGGAACATTAATCACATTTGCTGTGATTTTCGTTGTTTATATATCAAGCGGCTGTTCCATCAATGAAAAAGAGAATAAGAAGAACAAAATTCAAAAGAAAATATGAAAACTGCAATACGCATGGTTCTTAATTTTTTTTTTAACAATTCCATTTCTTTATTTATGTAACACTCTAGCGTGTTTATGTGTCTCCCTTCATCTTTACTTTAGTCGCTTCATTCTGATATTCTCTCTCATGCTCTCTAGTCTTTTATTTATATGCGCTCCTAGGACCTTAGGATCAGTTTCTTGAATAAAAAATAAATAAAAAATATATTGTTTGCTTTTAAGGATTACTCATACAATTTGATAAAGGTTTTGTGCACCAGTACCAAAAAAGAACAATAGAAATTATTAAGCTACCTTCTTCTAATTCTTTCGATATTCGATAAGAATTTGTGATTTATATTATTAGATTTCTTGTCTTTTCGATAACTGAGAAAGTTCAATAGTTATTTATAATCATTAATATTTTATAATAATATAATATTATAGACAATCAAACAAAGTCAATTTAGAGAAGACTTTCTATTGATAATGAGTCGTATAATAATAAAAGAAACATCGATTAACTTTGAAAATTTATTCGTTGAGAAGGAACAGTTGTTAACTATAACCGAAAAAAAAGATAATAACAATCAGCCACGATAGCAAATGAATGATACTAACTTCAAATGGTCCTTGAGAACCATCATTAGGAACAGGAAAATCATGCAGAAAGATAGTTGATAAAGACATTACGAGAATTTCCTCAAGAAGTTTTCCGAATTGATAAACACAAAACAAGAAAAATCTGTCAGGCTATATATATATATATTGCAATAATCATAGATGTCGGTCAAATACGTT